AATGTGACAAGGTTGGCACTGAAGTAGAAGAATATAAATTAAATTTTTAAAATAAAAGTATGGATGTTTAAGACCGCGATTAAAATAATAATAGCGGCAAAATAATGCATGCAAAAATATGAACCACCGCGGAGCCAGTTAATGAAAAAAGAAAAACGATTTCCTGAATTTAAGTTAGAGCTTTACTATGAACAATTTTCATCATAATACAATGTTAGATAAGTTGTTAAATGATTTTTTAAAAAACACTTAATTATCGTGAATAGTTTTTTGGATGGCATTTAAATTCATTTCATAATATTATAACTACTTCATCGAATAGCTTATATATTAAAACATCTTGTTTTCAAATATTAGTATAAAAAAATACTTATTAAAGTCAATAACTAAATTTTACTAGAAATTCTTAAAATAATGACAAATCCTCCATTTTATCACCAAATTATAGTATGTATGTAGCTATGTAAATAGTAAATAGTAAACAATATCAGCAATGTCTTGGATACCTACATTGATAATATCTTAATATTTTTCTTTACCTGAAGTTTGTGGCAGAATTAGGCATTCCAAACAAATGAATTGCCAGTGGGAAGGTTTGGTATATCTAAGGGTGGCGACATACGGTGTATTCTATCTACTTTACGTAAAATCATGAATAATGGATTAAATTTAAATATTTTATGTCAAACACAATACAAATAATATTTAAAAAACCCACCTATACATTTCTTCATAAATTGGCAGGCTTGGCGACTACTACTTCGAATAAAAATAGTGTCCAAGTTGCAAGACTATGTCGCTACCCCTTTAGATATACAAGAATTTCCCACTGGCACCTATTGTTTGACAGGTTGTTGGAATGCCTAATTTGGAAACTCCGGTTTGACCACTAGGGGCGAAAATGTTTTTGTAAGTTAGAACTTTGTCTTTTTTTATTGAAATTGAGACTTTTATTGTAAAGCATTTCAGCTACTCATAGAAAGCAACGTTGTCATATGTAATGTGCTCGATTTACTGTATTTAAAATCTAATATTTGCAAATATACGGCACATATAACTTTTTTTTTTAAATTTAACCTCATGTGTGTTTCAAAACGCTTGTGATAAAAGATTTAATAGGTTACGTAAAAACAAGGTTTAAGTATTTTTATATTGTGTGATTATAATTAATAATAATTAATATTGTACGAATATTTAAGTTCGAAATCCTGGGACCAAAATATGAAAAACATTTTATAACCAATACGTTCGATAACGCACCTTTTCCATGATAGAGGATATTAAAAATTATTTAAGTCGGGGCAAGTCGGTAAGTTTTTTTCACACAAAAATAGCACCCAATTAACAGTGCTGTTCCTAGAGTGGCGCTTGGAAACAAAGCCTACAAAGCTTAGCAGTTGATTTTTTCCAACTACTTGTAAATATGTACATGGTGTCTGATTACGGACTCTTAGCGGTTGTATCTCAGAAACTATTTATCCTACGGCTTTGAAAACTTTTTTATAACAAAGTCAGTCAAGAGAAAACATTGGAAATTATTTTCAACTTTCTATTTTAACGAAAACAAAATGCAATACAAGAATTAGAGGTAGTGTTCGAATTGTTTTTCATCTTAATCAATGCAAAAATCAAGTCTCTGTCTAGTTGAATTGACAGCAGCTTCTATTTCAGCCCTAGGAACATGATCAATTGCAGTTTGTATCCGTTGAATTAGATCTTCTCTACTTACAGGCTGAGTTTGGTAAACTAAATCTTTAAGTCGAACCCACAAATAAAAATCTAATACGGTGAAGTCGGGAGATCTTGATGGTAATGGAAATAGACTACCTCTTCCAATCTACCTATTCCGAAAACATTGATTTAAATAGCCTTTTACATCATTTTTATAATGTGCTGGGCAGCCATTCTGCTGTATACCTCTACTGAAACATTTTCTAATAAAACAGGCAATTCATCTGTCAGTAATCTAAATATCGCTCACCATTTAAATTTTCATGAAAAACCTATATCATCTATAATTTTACCATCTAAAATTCCACACCACACATTTACTGACCACCGACCTTGATTAAACACTTCTTGCATACAATGAGGATTGTGTTTAGACCAGTAATGCATATTATGCCTGTTTACAGATGCTTTACTGGAAAATGTAGATTCGTCGGACCACATTATATATGATAAAAATTGTGGATCCCCATTAAGCATATTACAATAATCTAGCATTTTATCATAATGTGTTAATTCCATACCTTGATGAAGGGCTACATGGTATGTAAGGAGACTATGTTGTTTTAAAATAGAACAAACGTAGTGGATTTGCAGCAACGTATTATACTTAGAAGGGAATCTAACCTGTCAAATATGGCCATCTTCAATGAGAAAAAAAAAAACAACTCCAAATCAATTATTATAACTATTATTCAAGGCGACCGGTTTCGGCTAAAAATCCATTTTCAAGCCTATAACAAGTTTAACCATAGTTAACAAAGTTAGTAAAAAATTAAACCTAGACATACATACCTAAGATCTTAAGTGGTTTCTAAAGACGAATTACGAATAAAATTTATTGAAACAATGGTAGATCTACTTTATATAATAACTTAACATACGAACTATGAGTTAGCATTGAAATTAAGGAGTAATGATTAAAGTGGGATTAGAGATTAAAATAAATAATAAACATAAAAATTATAATTAATATAGACGTGGAGAGGAGATGGTAGAATCCCCAACAGTATAATACTGATCAAAAATTGGAGCCGGTGGTCTACCCAATATAAAATGGACGAAGAAGAAGGCAGTTTTCAAATTAAACCCCGGATGACGTTGATATTGAAAAAGTGGAAATGCAGAGGTGGAGTAACTGTAGAGGCTTTTCACAAAGTGACGCCAGAAATTACCGGTGGCCTCTTAAACAACGTAACTTAATACCTCATTAAGAAAGCTGGCAAGCATTACACTCAAAAGTAATCGCCCATCTTTAAGGGACAAGAGATTATAATTAAAGAAGTAGGATTTAAGAAGTAACATTTAAGAATAAGAGGCAAATCCACACACTCCCCAAGAAGGCACTTAGTTGATGGTAAGACCCTCGTACAAAAATCAATTTGTTAAACAGTGTTGGGTACACATGGTTAAATCTCAAGAAAGCAGTTAACTCTTGCGGCACCAAATGATGAGACTTCTTAATTTGATTTATTATGCGATGAATCTGATCACTGGTAGAATGTTTATCCCGAAATCAGAATTGATGGGACGGGATAAGTTGTTTTTGTCGACTATCCTATTTAGTCTTCTTAAGAGCAAGAAGCAAGTTTTCCAGAGTAGTGGAACATGTTAAACTCTAAATGCTGCATTAATTATATTGGTAAGTTTTACTAAACTCTTTCGTGGTTATTTCTTTAGTAGCTTTCCTGTGATCAGATCAAACCCGGGAGCTTTTTTACATTATTACTATTTTTTATTTCTCTTTGCATTTCTTTAGGACTAATTTATAATATTTTCTCTATATCACTAACTTCCTCTTGGTTGTCTACTTCAATTTCTTCAACTTCTTCTGGGTTAGAGTGGAAGATGCGTCCTCCTGGGCATTGCAAAGAGCACTTCCAAAGGAATTGTCTCAAAATGGACGGAAGGTGCAACACTCACGAACTGGAGAGATACCCCAGGGCTAACTCATTTGAAGGTGTTTGTAACCAACCCTTCTATGGGCGCCTCTGAGAAGATCAGAGAATGGACTAGGGAAGATCTACACATTTTTACGGGACTGATGACAGGACACAGCCGTCTGGGCAACCATATGAGAAGGATAGGTCTGCAATAAACATCAGACTGTCGAATCTGCAGTGTAGAAAACGAATCTGCAGAGCAGATTTTATGTACTTGCTTCGCTTTGTAAAAACCAGCTTCCAGATCTTCGAATTTACCTGACTGGAGCCTACCGACTTTAAACAAGTCTCAATTAATTCAACCATGGCCTTCATCAAAAGGTATGGCTTGCACGGTGAACTATAAGTTAGTCATGAACCACAATAGATCCATCTAGATCGCAGTGGAAAGCGATAAGATCATCCCACTTATTTTCAACCTAACCTAAGATGCATTCTAAATAGTTGGCAAAAGCATCAACTTTTTGTTTGGAACTTTTTGCCCACATCCCATTTTCTGTTCGTATTGGGAGTATGTGTTGCATTGGTTCGTTTATTTTTTTAACAGCTTTCCATAAAGAGTAATCAGTGATTTGGTCATTTGTGAGATCTCTCATATATTTTTAATATTTTCTTTCTTCGTAGCTATTGTGTAAGTCTATTTAATTCGTTTTCGTTCTCTTCGGTTCTCATTTTTGCCACTCCTTTCTAGCCTTCCTTTGCAATGTATTAAATCCCTTATTTCTTTGAGGTAATTAATAACTATGGAGTTCCTTTGTATTAATGATTTATTATTCCATGCAGTTTGTTGGATAGTGACCATAAATAATTACGTTTCTGTATCCAAATCTTTCACTGTCCTAATTGGGACATTTAATTCAATTTTTTAGCAAGTTCAAGTTGAAATCTTTCCCAGTCTGTGTGGTTCTTCGTCAGTGTGGGATTGAGTGTTCTAGTGATAATATTTTCACTCATTGTTAGGAATATTGTGGTGTTAACCTTTTAGTTGGACCGATGTTGAATATTTTGAACTACAATTATCAAGGGTAATATAACGAGACCATGACAAATAGTCGACTTTTTAAATTTTGAGTGTTTTTGATATCACATAATTTTGTTAATAATAATCTTTGAATTCGAGTTACTGACATTTCTTCAATTTGTTTAACATTGACAATAAAATAAGATAAATTTTCATTTTATGAAAAATACTCCATTCGGCATATTTTATTTAATTACGGGATTATTGCAGATATAGATAAACATTTCGGTAAAAAAAATATTGTATACAATTCGCCTATAAAGTTACTCAACACACTTATTGCCTAATAACTATTAAAAAAATCCTACCTGAAAATCTGGAGATTCTGGAATAAGGAATCCTTCCCTCAACCATTGAATAGTGGGCTTAGGTTTTCCAGAAATGGTAGACTTAAATTGAGCTGGACTGCCTTCAGGTACAGTTACATCTCTCATTGGAGTCAGCGATGGTGCGACTTCTTGAACTTCGGGTGCCAATACTCTCAACTTGGCTTGTGTTCCTACAGTTCCAGCTGGGTTCTCAGCAATACATTTGTATACGCCTTCATCTTCAGGGAAAGCTTCGGATATTTTAAGCGTGCAATAATCCCCTTCTTTGGTCATTTGGAAGTACTTGGAAGGTTTGATGACTTTATCTGCTTTCTGCCACTTTATAATCGGTGCAGGTTTAGCAGAGATCTTGCATCTAAATACTACCCCCTGTCCTTCTTTTATTGTTTGATCTTTCAGAGGTTCGACAATGGTAGGTGCTTTCTCTGTGCCAGGAGTAGTTGGTTTTGCTGCTTTTTGTGGAGTTGATGGCGCTGTAACTGAACATTCAGCTTCACATCTACATTCACCAGAGCTGTTTATGGCGACACATTCGTATTTACCAGTATCTTCAGGAACAACTTCGATTATGAGGAGAGTGTAAATTTCATCTTCCTCTAACGTCTTGTATCTTATGTCAGAAACAATTTTCTTACCGTTTTTCAACCAGTACACATCAATTGGTTTAGTTCCTTCGATTTTAGCGTCAAATCTAACTAACTGACCAACATTAGCTTTGGTACTCTGAATCGTTGTTGTAAAACTGGGAGGAATGGCACCGGACCTACCGTGCCTTCTCCTTTCTTGTACTACCAAATTAGCACTACATTTAGCTGTACCTCCTCGGTTTTCTGCTACTACACTGAATACACCAGAATCTTCCATAAATACTTGTCTGAGTTGGAGGATAGACTTTGTACTAAATGTATAGACTTTCAGATCTGGTGAGCTGGTTATTGGGAAGTCCTCTCTGTACCAGGTGATTTTGGGAAGCGGATCTCCATCAAATTCAACTTCGAATTTGGCTGAATCATTTTCAAACGCTCTTACTGGTTGAATCTTCTTGGTGAAGATTGGTGGATTAGACGGTTTCACTTGACCTTGAACAAGCCGTTCAGATGTTTTGGCTTTGTGCTCAACGTCAGTTGTTTCTGTGGCAGTAATATTTCTCGTAATTTCAAGATCGCCTTTTTGTTCTTTTTGAGTTTGTTTTTGCTTGGTTACATAGATCTCCCTACCGTGGACGCCAGATTCAGTTGGTTGAGGTTGATACGGTGGTCCTTGTTGTCTTATTTCTTCTTCTACCTCGTTTTGTACAAACTCCTGAGCTTTGTCGGTTTTTCTTAACCTCACTTGCTCTTTGTGGGGAACCGGCTTTGGTTGTTCTGCTTTGGGTAGACGCGGAACTGGGGTCAAGTTTATATCATAGTTTGGCTTTTCTTCCCTGCAATAATAGATAAAATTTTTAAGAATAGTGTAGAGAAAAACAAATAATAGTAGTACAGAATACGAAGTACGGTCGACCTTCGCCCATCTCCTTACTGGATGAAAGTTATTATTTATTAAATAAAATTCTAGTTGACTGAGAGTTTTCTTCCTTCAAATGGAAGTCTGAGTATGAGCTTAACTGGAAGAGGACGTGCTAATAACACATTTTAACTCCATAATTTAATTTTCCGACATTTTGACGTAATTTTTCGTCTTTATCAAGGCTGAAAGTACATATTTCTTATAAAAAATGGTACACCACCTGGTTATGTACTCATTTCACTGAACGTCACTTCTCTGTTTACTAATATGATAAAGCAATTAGCTTTAAATTTTATTCAAAAGAAATTGAAATTTATTTCCGCTTATACAACTATTTATTTAACATTGTTCTCTAGTCACGCTATTTTCTTTGAATAACCTGCTCTACTAATATACTGAAGGTTCATCAATAGAAAGTCCTAAGTTAATTTAATTATGAATAAATAAGCATGGTTACATTTTTAAAAGTTCATGTGGACGACACGATTTTATGTATTCCACAGAATTAAGTACTAGATGTATTTAATTCCTAGCATCAGAGAATTGGTATAACAAACCCACCAATTTATGGAGAATTCAGAACTATTTGGCAAACCATCCAATACAACATAAAATAGGTACAATTAAAAATTTACTATTAATATCTTACCATCTGAGCAGACTCAAAATCGGTGTTAAGGAACATAAAAAAATATAAAATAAAACATTTTGATAATTTTATGGTAAGGTAAAAAATTTACTTTGTCAGCTCAAATTATATTTATATGGACGAAAGAAAATGGTGGCGATTATGGAAATGAGATCGTTGATATGGCTCCAAAAGAAGCGAGGCTAAGTAACAATCTTCTAAATATTCCTTGTTACAAAGATCTTTACAGTACATTTAAAGATAATACAGATATTAGAATAAATATTGGAGAGAAATAACAATAAATCAAATAATTCATCTACAAGGAGTTGCCAAATAAAATCTGGCATATATATTCAATGACAAAGTTAATAAAAAGTACAATTATAACTCGATAAAAAATGAACCATGAGTGCTTTCCATCTCATTTATACAAAATAGGACTGACACATTCTCCACTATATTAATTTAATTACGAGGTTGCAGATCTAGATCACATATTTTTTGGCTGTAAGAGTTTTTGTAATAATGACTTGTGTTGATTTGGTAGATGATATAAGTAAAAATAATACAGTGAGCACCATAAGTCTTACCCCCCCTATCTAACTCGTTACTGGAGTCTTGTTGGGAAAATCGTCGAGACACGTCGATTTTTGATTTCTACAATGTACATTTTTGTATGAATAGTTTACCCTTAATTTCATCCCTTACTGGAGGGGAGCAACCCTTTCGAAAAATTTAAATGGCATGGGGTGGTGAATGATAGCTCATTTGAAAGAGGGTTTCATTCTCTATTCAACCGTGTAAAAAAAAAAATTGAAATTTGCTTCATTAATTCTCGACTAATTGTTGTTTCAGAATAACGGAAATTAACGTAGCGCACTCATCCTTAGAATTAAAATTCGCCCCTGCATGATTTCGGTTTTGGTTCAGACGTGAAGTAAGACTTTTTGCCATTAGAAAGTCACTGTTAGTCTAGTTGCTTTACTATTTTGTGAGGTTTTGTTATTTTTAAACATTAATAAATCAACACGTAATGAAGCAAATTTCAAATTTTTGTGCACTGTTGAATAGAGAATAAAACCCCCTTTCAAATGAGCTAACACTCATCACCCCATGCCATTTAAATTTTTCGAAAGGGTTGCTACCCTCCAGTAAGGGATGAAATTAAGGGTAAACTAATCATACAAAAATGTACATTGTATAAATCAAAAATCGACCTATCTCGGCGATTTTCCTAACAAGACCCCAGTAACGAGTTAGTTAGGGGGGGTAAGACTTATGATGCTCACTGTATAAATATTTAATAGTTTATTAATACCTTTCAATTTGTATGTGGCTGAAGGACTAACGTCTTTCGCCAATAAAGAAAAAGAACAATTTATAATTTTCTTATTTAGAGCCATCTATACTTACACTTATTACGTGTAGCCTGCTTTATTAAAGGGGTTCGAATTGTCGAACTCCTAAAACAAGGTTAGCTAGTAATCTCAAGGGGATGGGTTCCTATGTGAATCCGAAAGAAGAAAAACACTTGATTTGAAAGAATGTGAACTGGGCTTTATTACCTAACTATTAATTTGCTCAGTTGTCAAAATACAAAATATGAAAATGTCGAATGACAAAAAAAGTATTTACAAAAATATGTAAAAAAAGGCGCGTGATGCTAACTATTAATACCCTTAAATTACTCTAGTACAATCATGTGGTGGTTAATCCGGTTTACGTCAAGTAGTTGCCGCTTACAACAAAAATCGGTAAGTAAATATTAAATCTAAGTATATATACAGTGAAGTTTAACCCCTTAAAAACCCTTAAAATCTACTAATAACTATACACTATTATAATATATGTAGATTCCCATAGAAAGTATTTATTTGTATGCATTTATCTATCGGGCTCTAATCAGAATATTAATGCCAAAAGTTTCATCAAATTGATATTAAAATATTCTCGAGATTTAGAATCAACAAAAATAGCTGACTATTATCAAGGCCTTGGTATATTACCCATGTGGAGGCTCTCTTATTCTCGCAACCTCTTTTAATAGCTTGCAAGATGGCGACAGCTGATGTATTGATGTCTTATTCAATCCAGAAAGAGATAGATGTAAGCTTGCACATAGTATAAAAGAGGATTTCGACAAAAAAGTTTTTGTTATGCGACCTCTTAGTGATTAATTATTTATCAACAAATTCACACTTTTAGTCAGATAATAAATCCATCACTTGTGGTGTATAAATAAATCACAAAGATTAATCAACAATATATCTGACTGAAGGAGTATATTTTTGCTCAAGAATGAATCTTAGAAAATCATACATGATATCCTGGCATATGCCACGATCAAGATCCAAGCAAAAAGTGACTCATGAAGAAAGTTCCACAGAATAGAACAAGGCCCTGATTACAAAAGGTTAATAGGATAATTTCTTGTAAGACTGTGGTCAGAATTTACAAATTTAGAAGAATTTGACAACTAAAGAGGGTCAAAATATCATATGTTCAAGCTTATATTGATAGAGTTGAATACTGGTGTCTGAGAAACAGTTTATCGCTTAATGCCGCGAAATGTTTTGTCATGTCATATGGTCTTAGCGCTTATCCTATTATATTTGATTACATCAATAACAACACAATCCTCCAAAGACCAACTACTATTACAGATTTAGGTGTTACATTCGATAGAGAATTATCTTTTGGTCCGCATATAAATACTATTATATCCGCTGCTTCTCGTCTTTACGGATTTGTTGTTCGGGCTAGTCGAGACTTAACTAATCCGTCTACACTCACCACCCTCTACTATGCATTAGTAAGGTCAAAACTTGAGTATACATCTATAGTTTTGAATCCATTTTATCAGCTTCATATTAACAAGTCCACAGACGATTTTTAAAACTGTTAAGTTTCAAAATTGATGATGTCTACCCTGCGATTGGAACGCCTCATAATTCTCTTTTGCAAAGACAGCAGTTAATAGCTTATATCAGCTCGCCTTTCTTGTAACTCGGTGCTGTTTCTATTTAAAGTTACTGACTGAGAAAATTGATGATTCTGCCATATTAGGAAGAATTAACTTTCATATTCCTGGATTTTCGGCAAGGTCTGCATGCACTTTTTACCTTTCAGTGCCTAGAACAAATGTTTCAAAAAGCTCTCCCATTTATAAAATGTGTGAATGTTCTAACGAAATATGCAGTAATCTAGACATCTTTAATTGTACTGTAAGTAAAATGAAGAATCATTTTCTCTTATATTAGCTTGTAACTCTTGTTCTTATTGTAACCTACTTACTTTTGAATTTTGTTGTTCAGATTGTGAATATTTTTTTTCTTGTAACTCTGTTATTGAATTAGGTTTCCTGTTGAACAGTGTATTAAATAAATAAATAAATAAATATGTAAACAATAACGATCAAAATAAAGCTATTTAATGTTTTAAAGACCAAGAGTCGTTATTCGATGTAGCAAAATATATTTACTTACAATATGAGTTATTTGTTTAAGGTACTAATGATTATAATTAAAGAGATAATCTAGATGAGATTATATTTTAATAGAAAATATGTTTGATAAAAAAGGATATTTTATGAATTCTTGTTATGTATTTATAAACTGTACACTCTTAAATCTAAATCCACAATCCACTTAGGTATGCCTAAAGATGAAGTAACCTACTTCGAAACCTGTCGCTAGTTAAACTGACATTGTAAGACATAAATGTCCCCTGTTTTATTTCTACCTGCGTATTCAATCCAAACCACTCACATATGGCTTCCCTCAACCTTAAGAAATGACGAAAACTATCTGTATTTTATGTATACCTCCTAAATATTTTATATGTAAATCTCATAGTTTATGTAATTTTTTATAAGAAATATGTATTTTCAGCCTTCATAAAATAAACGTAAAAACGTCGGCAAATTAGAAGTAGTTAATCTTTTTTACACGTCCTCTTCATATTGACCTCATACTAAGATATCACACACCCAATTGCTAGTCTACTGATGAAGAATATAAGCGTAGAAGAATTTGAACACCAGAAATTCAAAATTGAAACAAATTATAAGTACTTTCATAAATGAATAAAGTATCAATTAATTTATAATGTACTTACAAGTTTTGTTCGTATTGCTGAGCCATTCCCTTCGAAGTGGAACTGCTTACAACCTTTTCTCCAGGTATTGCGTATTGATGAGATTGTTCACGAAGTCGAATTTCTTTAATAACTTGTTCATTTTCGAGTTCTTGCAATTTACTATAGTAATCGTCACCTTTCTTGGTCTTTATGGTCTTTTGCCATTCCGTTTCGGGCTCTTTGAATTCTTTAGATTGAACATGGATACCAGTGACATTAACACCACTTTCTCTCAAAGCAGTATTGCGCTCGTCAAATATACGTTCGAGTTCGGTTTCACTGCGTTCTTTTTGGTATTCGGCTAGTTCTAGATCATACCATGCTAAGAAATAATAATTATTAAGATGTGGGGTAGTATATAAAGAAAGAAAACCGTATAAACAAACATAATAACGTCCACATTATACATAATGCACATTTGATTTAGGCTACGAGTGCTATGCTGATTTCATTACCATACAATAGAATTACCCAAAAATATTTTAAATATACAACCAGGGTCACTATATCAAAATTTCAGCATGACTCTCGTGCAAGGTTTAAGAAGTCCCACTGATGACAATGTATAAGACAAGGATCAAAATGCATATCATATAGTAGTTTCTAAACAGTTTTTACGTTATGTGTATTGTCTAATAAATTGTGCAACAAAGGGTCTTCGTAAATTCTCTGTACCTAATATATTTCATGCAAAACTACAGTAAGCTTTCACATTTAAGGCATACCTGTTCCATATCACTTCCGAATAAAGCCTTTTATCCGTGGATACGTGCTTCAAAGCAATAACCTTGACTGATCGGCATAGAAGGGATTTTAAAGGACGGGCAAGGAAAATATGTTATTGTTAAGTATTGTGCGCGAATGCGATCTAATGCTTGTAGTTAATTGTGAATTGTGCATTGTGTGAAGTATATTCGTAAGTATAATGCGGTTGTATATGTCTGTAAAAAACTTACGTCTTGGCGAATTCTTAAGAACTCCTCTGTAATCATCGTGTCTGGGTATAATTTTAAGTTCAGTTTCAGCAATCGCTTCTCCAACGGAGCTGCGTGCGATTACTTCAACTTTACCGGTATCGTATTGGCGAGTTTTTGGAATATCAAGATGGTACATTCCATCGTAAGTAAGTTTGTATCTTGATCCACTGACAACAGTATGTCCGTTAATAAGCCACATAACGCGTGGACGTGGATGACCAGTTACCCGGCAACAGAATCTTGCCCATTCTCCTTCTTCGACGGTAACCGGTTCGGGTTTGCTGACGAAGGTCGGAGCTTGCCTTGGTTTACTTTCTTCGACTGCTTCTTCAGGAACACTAAAATGTATTATATGTATTACACGAATATTTATACCAACATACGATAAAATAGTAAGTAGGAAAAACTAGAACCAGCTAGCACATAACATTGCCATCCCTTTCTCTGATGTTGTTTTAAAGAAAACGTAATAACATTACTATACAACCTAAATGCAGTGTTCATGAGAAGTTGTCGAGGGAAATTAGAACCTAGGAAAACTTCTATTTGTTACTTACCTATTCAATCCACCTATTTTGTTAACAAAATGTAATAATAGAGAGTTAAAGCAATGCCAGCAGCGTATACGTAAACGTATTTAATGACAGCTACGCATGCGCAACAGCTATTTTTCTCATGTATCTATTTACGTCTGACGTAAACGTACGTGTTCTTGCGTATATCTAATACATATTTGTATCAAGCCGAACAAATACTTCGGGAGCATACGATCACACCCGATTAATAAAACATGACAGATTGTTACTCTTATAATGTTATGTGCTTTTAAAATTCTAAACCATAATATGAAATAAGATTCATTTGTAATTTATATATGCACAAAAAATATTTCAGAGAACATAATTGCTAAAATAATTTGTTGTACCTAATCATATTTGGCATGCCAAAAGAGCCCTAACAAGTCTAATTATGACAGAAACTCATTTAATTTCAAACAGGTTAATGAAATTGAGTCTCTAATATAAAACACCTCTATTTTCCAAATCTTTTAGATAATGTAGAACCTTACAGCATCATCTAAATAATCACCATCGGCATTAAAAGCACCTAACATCAATGTTTTTTTCTATAACTAATAGTCCAGGATCCGTAAGTAAGCTCGACCTTCACCCATCTGTTTAATGGATAAAAGTTTTTTTTTATTAAATAAAATATGTTAAATATGTTAAATATACCGCAAATGGGTTGCCTAAGAAAATACGGTCACGGCCATTTTTTACTTTCCTCTCTGTGTACAGATAAGGAAAGTATGATAATTATAATAAAAGTTGCTTATGATGTCATTCTCTATTATTTTGTTTCTATACATGATTTCCCAAAAATGGACGTAATTTGAGATATTTGAGAAAAAGTGCAAATTTCGAATTTTGAAGACAACTCAGAAACGGATGAAGAGAAAAACACCAAATTTTAAACTTAAGCTTTAATCCATCCTTCGGTGAGCTGATTAAAGTTTGGGCATAGTAGAAGCATCTGGGGAATACTTTACAGGGTGTCGTTTTTTTTTTACTTTTAGAAAATAAATAGTCTGGACCGTATTTTCTTAGACAACCTATTTGCGGTATATTTATAAACATATTTTGTTTAATAAAAATAAAGTTTCATCCTTTAAACAGATGGGTGAAGGTCGACCTTACTTCGGATCTTAGACTATAACAATACTTTTCTCAAAAAGTACCTACGGTTATAAAATTTTAAATACGTTTACGCAAGTGTCTTTGCTTTAACTATCATTTTCCTTCAGATTACACATTTAACGTATCGTCAGAGAGTTATGTAGAGGTTTTGTAGCGTTTTGCTATAAAATTTATCTAAGAGAAGCTCTGTAAAGATCACATTGTGCATGCGAAATGTAGCATTCGTGTTTACACCTAAACTAACAAAATTGTCGTGTTTCTTTTTTAACTGTTTTAGAATTTTGAGATGATTTATGCGTTTTTAAAGTGAATGAACTCGTAAAAACATCGAATTAATAATATTTTATATATTTTTAAGATTTTTTTGAGTGAATTTGGGCTTCTTACTTCGCCTATTTATATTCTATTAATAAAGGACAGAAGGATGAGTATTGCAACTATGTTAAACGAAATAAATTGGCTTTCAGTTCAGAATTATGTTCAGTACATGACTGATATTTATTTATAAAATAAAAATGACAGTACCATCGCATCAGATCTATTAGAAAAAATTCAATATAATTCGCAATATCACAACTATAATACAAGGAGCCAATCTGACTCTCATGTACGGCAAGCCATCACTAAAAGTTCCCAAAATACAATTTTTATTAAAGGTACAGAACTTAAAAAAAAAAACAACAATAAATGTATATAAAAGTAACCTTAAATAATACTTGATAAATAAACAGACCGGAAATATTTTCTTGTGATAATACTCTTTAAACCTGCCTTTTTTAAGTATTTCCTTTAATTTATTGTTATTTTACCCCTCGTTTTACCCGCATTTATTATAAATTATTTGTTTTGAGATTATTTACTTTATTTTAAAAAATTACTTGATGTTATATTAATACTACTTACTATGTTTAAATTATTAATAGTTTTGCGACGATAGGTTATAGCAACTTATAGCCACAAAACTATTTTTGTGTTAAAGTAGATCCATAGAGAGCAATGTAATTTACAAAGGCCTTCTTTCAACATATAAATAAATGACAACTTTATAATTAAAATGAAAAACACAACAAAATACCTCGGTATCATAATTGATCTCTCTTTTATATAATAAAAAAGTGCTTTGTATAAGAACATTATATTATCTGTCTTGCTGTAGCTTTATTTATGGAAAGCCTGAATTGAGATACACTACAAATTATTTGCAATAAATATCAAAATAAGTATACATTTTTAAATAATTTGACATTTAAGAGCCGTTCACATATCACAGTTGACATCTTGATACTTGACAGGCACAGCCAAGCATTATTCTGGTTTTTGCCAAATAAAATGGCCGGTTAATTATTCTGTGGGGTTGCGGACAAAGAGCCAGTAAATTTGATGAAGATGTTTTTGTGGCTGGGGGCGAAATAGTAGTACGCTTAATAGCACCACCTTAAAAAATAAATTTTTCATAAATTGGCAGGCTTGGCGACTAATTTCGAATATAAAGGTCGCATAAACAGAGCCGATAGTATTCGATATCAAGGATTAACAATTGATTCCCATTTACGCTGGGATAAACATGTAAACGAAATTTGTAAGACCTTAAGGTATTTATTATATAAATTTCGCTACTTAAAATCTATACTTGATATATATCATCTAAAAATCGTATATTATTCACTAGTGAAATCACGTTTACGATACGGAATTCTCGGATGGGGTGGAGTCTCTGTCACCTACTTACAACCATTAAACATTATTCAAAAAAAAATATTAAAAATAATACATAACAAAAAAGTATCACACCCATCGGACGAATTATTTATAGAATCTGCAGTCCTAGATATAAGACAACTATTTACACTTGCTATGATGGTAAATTTACATAAAAATAAGCAGTTAGTAATACCTATTCAACATTCATACCAGACAAGAAATCGATCACAACTATTTATTGCAACAAATATTGCAAAAAAAACCGTAGGCCAACGAAACTTCCAATATCTACAATTAAAAATGTATAATACACTTCCTGATATATACAAAATATACTTAAATACCATCAATTCTCATGCAATGATAAAATCCTTGCTTAAAACATATTTAATATTAAATAATAGGCACATGCTTAAACAACTGTTTGATTGATTCAAGGAAAACAATATATAATTCACACCCTTATTTCCCATGCTCGACTAAACAGTTTTAATGGGGTCAATGATTTATTTACATTGAAGTTACAATACATATGTTTGTGTATTATTGTAAAACTTTTATGTTATTATTATGTGTGAATAAATATTATTATATTATTATTAACCCGCCTTAGAAATTTCAGCTATACTATCAACATTTGTTTTTTGACAGGTCATTAGAGAATGTTTGCAATTTATGCAATTTTAAGAATGTTAGGAATGTTGACGTTAGAAATAATTGGAGTTCCTAAAATTGTCACATAAGAAATACATAGAAGGATTTTAAGAAAATTGATATTAAAGTAGTTAGGATGGACCGAAAATTCTGAAAATCAATAGGGTTCTAAGTTAGAAGTAATTATTCAAGAAAATCAAAACCGCAAGTCACTCAGAACTTTCGTTCTAGAGTTATCGTGCCGGCATACATACACACACAGACGACCAGACGAAAAATTTTTTTTTGCATTTTCGCACTCAGAATGATCAGAAACATGAAAAAAGTTTTAAAAATGGTGGTCAGAAAATGTTTTCGTCTGCACGAATGCAATACTGAGGTCCCATAGGAAGGGAATCAGTAAAACTGAGAAATTTTAGAAATAAAAGTAAATACGATAGAACTGATAATTACCTATATTAAAAAAAATCAAATCCAAGCAGATCATTTTCTTCAACAAGCTTTGTTGATATACTCAGTTCAAGCACAAACCAAGAAAAAATCTTGCTACATATAGACTACCAATTAATAATTTTCTTAGGGCCGACTTATTAGACCTTAGTTCGGGATACATATCTTATTTATGTCTCTAGTTTTATAATATTGGTACTTGATTTCAGAAGAATTATAATAAAAAAAATTTACATTTAAAATTTCCACGTTTACCTGAGATTTTACCATGATTATATAATACTGTGAAAGTAACTCAAATTATAATATCTATACAACATTTCAGAACAACTTTCGGAGAAAAGTACTATGAAACTGCTAGTGTGATGCTTTCTGAATATTCCTTTGTAATCTCTATGAGAGGTGCTATAAAACTACTGCAGTTGCGGAGATTCGGAAGTTCCATTAATGTTAAAGTTACATCAAAAAAACATCACATGGAAGTTTAAAGATCTTGGCATTTCAGCTTATTAACGTAGACGGGATGTGTATGTGCTAGCTGGCGACTATAGGGTAGGTGAAAAGGAATACTTACATTTGCCAAGCGGCTTCCAATTCTCTAATCTTTTCGATACTCTTCATACCTTTTGGAAGTTGAGAATCGTAAATAATACCAGGTTTGCCAGCTGTTTTTATAACTGCACGTGTTTCATCCATACCGTAAAGATTTGTTGCTCTACACAAATATTCACCACTGTCTTCTGGATATACCCAACCGAAGTTCATAGCAACATAACCGAAATCGTAGATAGGTGTAAATCTATTTTCTGAAATGAACATTTGAATTAAAACCTAAGAATTAAACATTTTTCAAAAACTTACTATGTGGAAGAGGTTTTCCGTTAAGGAACCATTCTACTTTCATGTTTGGATCTCCAACAGGAGCCAGTTGACACTCGAATTTGGTATTCTGCATCTCAACCAGGTCAGTTTGATCTTTAATTTGTGTAACAAATCGAGGAGGTTGTTTCTTTTCAATATCATATAAATCATCTTCTGTTAGATAAATTTCTGAGGTGTATTTCTTAATAGCTGCTTCCATTTGCATTAGAGTTTCAGATTTCTTCATTCCCTTAGGAACTTGATTTTGCAAAATAATATTAGGAAGCTTTTTACATGAGACACTTGCTTTCGTAAAGTCCTCTCCATACTCGTTAACTGCTCTGCATACGTATTCTCCTGAATCTTCTGCATAAACATACAGAATATCAAGAGAAACAAAACCCAAATCGAATACACTTCTGTACCGATGGCCAGAAGGTAAAAGTTTTCCATTTCTGTACCATTCTACGCGAAGTTTTGGATCGTCTTTAGGTTCAACGCGACATTCGAAATGAACTGCTTCAGATTCTTCAACAGTTGATGATTCGATTTGGGTAATAAATTTAGGGGGTGAGTAGGTCTTTTCAACATCTGGAGCTTGAGATACTGGTCCCTTTTCGAGCTCCTTAAGTTTTTCTGCACTCATTCCAGATGGAAGTTGACTATCTGTATCAATGTTCTTCTTTGTCGTTGTGGTTACCGTAGCTTTGGTTGTTGCAGTTCCCCATTTGTTGGTAGCACGACAGATGTATTCACCTGAATCTCTGGTATAAGAATAATCAATATCAAGAGAAATGAAACCAAAATCATTGATTTGGTGTACTCTAGAACCAGTGGCAAAGGGTCTTCCATTATGGAACCAATCGATCCTCATTGTAGAATCATTAGTTGGTTCAACTCTACAGTCAAAATGAATTGGTCCACCTTCAGGTACATCAACATTATCTTTAACTTCAACAATAAACCTTGGAGGATTTGGTTTTTCTTCTTCGGATAAAATTTCATCTTTCTTATGAAGTAGTTCTTCAAGTTTTTGAATGCTCTCCGTACCAGAGCGGAAGTTGGAAGGTAGCTGTGGTTCCATTATAATACCCTGTCTACCTTTAACCTGTAGCTGACAAGAGACACTTGCTTCTCCGTGACTGTTGGTAGCTTTACACGTGTACAAACCGGAATCTCTTTGGTAAACTCCAGATACTTCCAAAATTACAAAGCCAAAGTCATTTATTGTCTTTATTCTAGATCCTGACCATAATGGTTTACCATTGTGGAACCATTCTACTCTCATACTTTGGTCATTAACTGGTATTAGCCTACATTCGAAATGCGCGAGACCATTCTCATTTAATACTAAGTCGGTAGGAGAAGTTATGAATTCTGGTGGTCTGCCGGTATCATCATCGGTTGTTTGTTGAGATGGTGCAACACCAAGACCTTCAAGTTCTGCGATTCTATCAATGGTTCCTTCCATTCCTTTAGGTAATTGAGATTCTAAAATGATGCTTCTCTTTCCAGATACTTTCATTGATGCAGTAGTTACTGCTTCACCGTAATCGTTAAACGCTCTGCATGAGTATTCTCCAGAATCTTCTGGATAGACAGGTGAAATTTCCAAAATAACAAAACCGAAATCACAAAATGTGCGGAATCTTGAACCAGTTCTAAGCGGTTTTCCGTTCCAGAACCATTCGACTTTAAGTTTAGGATCATCAGTTGGAATAAGTCTAGCTTCAAAGTGGGAGTTCTCTCCTTCACGAAGGTTGTCAATGTTTGACAAAGGTACTGTGAAAACAGGTGCTTTGCCTATCTTCGTTTCTTCTTTTTCATCTTTAGTACGAATCATTGCGTCTTCCAGATTCTGTATTTTTTCTAATCCACCTTCCATGCCCTAGAACAAAATTACCATTAATAATGAAAAATATTTTAATAAATAATATAAGCTTACCCGCGGCAGTTGCGAGTCCAAGATTAAGTTCGTTTTCGATACGCATTTCAAATTGGCTTTAGTTGCGTCTTGTCCAAATTTATTATGAGCTCTGCATTCGTATTCGCCAGAGTTCTCTTCGTAACAATACAGAATATCAAGAATAACAATTCCAAAATCATGGAAAGTGCGGTACCTATGACCATGGGGTAACTTTTTACCATTGTAGTACCACTCTACGACGAGGTCTGGATCAGTTACTGGAGTAAGACGAGCTTCAAAGTGAGCACTTTGTCCCTCAACTAATTTGGTAACATCTTGAATGTGGGTAATGAATTTAGGTGGTTCAGTAACTGGAATTGATGGTGCCTGAGCATGTTGACCTTGCATACTTTCTAACTCTCTTATCTTAGCAAGCGATTCAGGTTGTAAGCTGTCACTAAATACTCCACTTCTTCCATGAGCTGAAATTGTAGCTTTAGTGAAATCTTCACCGTATTTATTATGGGCTCTGCAAACATATTCGCCTGAATCGTGATTTTGGATGTATGATATATCCATAACAACAAAACCAAAGTCGGACACGGCTTTAATTCTATTTTTCTCTAGAATGGGTTGACCGTTGTGGTACCATTCGACTTTAAGATCAGGATCATTTACTGGTATTAAAGTACATTCAAAGTGAGCAGATTCTCCATCTTTAAGACCAACAATATCTTTAATGTGAGTCGTGAATTTCGGTTTTTGACCAGCAATTCTTTCACTGCATACTAATTGTACGCTTTGTTCAGCTACTCCCCATTTGTTGGTCGCTTTGCAGGTGTAAGTACCAGAGTCTTCGATCTTGGCTCCCAATATTTCTAATACTACCATACCAAAGGCGTGTACTGTTCTAAATCTGTGAGAAGCTTCGATTGTTTTACCATTGTAAAACCATTCCACAGTCATTGTTTGATCACCAACTGGAGTTAAACCAGCTTCAAAGTGAGCAATTTCACCTTCAGTAAGGCTAGTTAAGTTAACAAATTCTGATGTAAATACTGGTGCGTGTCCTTCCTCTAGCTCAGCCTTTGGTAAATCTGGTCTGTTAAGAGAGTCTTCCAGGTCTTGAATTTTTTCCAGGCCTTCTTGTCCTTTAGGATGTTGTGTACGTTCGATAAGATTTGATTTACTGGTACAATGAATTGTTGTGGAGGTGAAAGCTTCACCAGCTTTGTTAGATGCTTTGCATGTGTAAATACCTTGGTCACGTTCATAAACATCAGTTACGTCTAGTGTAACAAAACCGAATTCCTGTGTAAATTTAAATCTACTTCCATGTTCTATAGACTTTCCATTAAAGAACCACTCAATTTTCATATTCGGATCTTCTTTTGGTTCCACAGTACCTTCTAAGTGCAAAGGTTGACCTTCTGTCAAATGGAATTCAGGATTCAGTGGTACTATCCAGACGGGTTTACCATATTCCTTTTCAGGAGCTAATGGTTGTCTTTTATATTTATCAGCGACAGCCTGTTCAACATCTTGAACCGCTTCTAAACCTGCTTTTCCCTGTGGATGTTGAGTATCCAAGTAAATACTTTGTTTAGCAGTGCAACGTAATGATCCAGAAGTTGTTGCTGATCCTTTGGTGTTTGTGGCTTTGCAGGTGTAAATGCCAGAGTCGGATTCATAGGAATGAGTTATATCCAAAGCTACATAACCGAAGTCGTAGGTGGATTTATATTTTGCTCCGGTAGGTAAAGGTTTTCCATTGACAAACCATTCGATTGTAAGAGTGGGATCTTTTGATGGTTCAACGTTGCATTCAAAGTGTACGTTATCACCTTCCATACATTCAACATTATTGAGGTGAGTAATGAAAATAGGAAGTTCATAAACTGGTTCCGGAGCTTCTTTCTTAACATCTTCGTGTTGTTCTAAGGCTTGAAGCTTTGGAATAGCGTCAGGATGAAGGGTATCTCCCAATAACCAATGGCGGTCGGCAATTTTGAGAGTGCAAGTGGAGATTGCTTCTCCTAATTTATTTGTTGCTTTACAAGTGTATATAGCTGAGTCATCATCTCTCAAGCCATTAATTGAGAGTGTTACTAGACCAAAATCAAATGTACTGCGCAGTCTAGCACCAGTTGATAACGAAATTCCGTTTTTAAACCACTCAATTCGTAGGTTTGGATCAGCTCTTGGTTCTACTTGAGCTTCCAAGTAAACATGTTGTCCTTCAACAAGGTTGTCATAACTTTTTAAGTGTGTCGTAAATACAGGAGGTTGTTGAGGAGTAGTGTCAACAAACATTTCAGGAACTCTGTTCATCTCAGCTTCCTTAAGTTGGATCTTTTGCCATGCATCGGGTTGTAATGGTTCTCCAACAATACTAGATTTTGTTTTTACCTTCATAGAAATCGAGGAGACAGCTTCACCAGTCTTGTTGATAGCTTTACACATGTATACCCCGGAGTCTTGCTTAATAGTAGACATAATATCCAAAGTAACAAAACCGAAGTCGTGTGTAACTTTGAATCTAGATCCAAGATTCAGTTCTATGCCGTTGACGTACCATTCGAATCTTAAATCAGGATCACCAACTGGTACAACTCTAGCTTCGAAGTGAGCATGTTGTCCTTCCCAAAGTTCTGTAGGACCAGTAAGTAATTGAGTGAAAATTGGTTTCTCGAATACATGGTCTGGTTCATCTGGTTTGGGTGCCAGTGGTTGCTCAAGTTGTGCAATTCGTTTCTGAGCCTCTGGATGTTGTGACTCGAGCTGAATACTGGCCTCAGCTAAAAAAGAAAAAGATAGTTTATTGATGAACCTAGAATATAATTCTATATAAAACATAAAGAGAAAACTATTATGTAATACTTTTATTCTGAAATATGACTTACTTCTAATTTTCATAGACGCAGTCGTAACAGCTTCTCCAAGCGGATTGGTCGCTCTACAAATATACACCCCCTCATCTTCAGCTCTAATATGAGTTATATCTAGCGAAACAAAACCAAAATCATGTATTTTAGTAATACGAGAACTATCTTCCAGTGGCTTTTCGTTTCTGAACCATTCCACTTTAAGTGTTGGATCTCCAACAGGAATTAAGCGACATTCAAAATGAGCAGTTTGTCCTTCTTTAATAAAGTCAATATTTTGGAGAGGTTGAGTAAATACTGGCCGCTGCCTAGTAACGGCGTCATCTACCTCGGGTCTCTTGTACGGTTGATGTTCTTCAAGTTGTCTTATTTTATCTAATCCTTCAGGTCTTTGTGATTCTAAGATGATATTACTCTTAGCGATTACCTTAAGATTAATAGATGATACGCATTGGCCAAGATTATTCATAGCTTTTACTGAATATTCTCCTGCATCCTCTGGTACTGCATGCCCAATATCTAATGCTATGTATCCAAAATCGAACGTAATATGGAATCTAGATGAAGCTGGCAAAGGTTTACCATTATGATAGAATTCAATTCTTAGATTTGGATCGTGAATGGGTTGAACCTGCGCTTCAAAGTGAGCAGTTTGTCCTTCATAGATTTCTGTAGTGCCACGTAGTTCAGTAACAAACCTAGGTGGAGTTGGAACAGGTTCTTCGATTTCAAGTCGAGCATGATGGCCTTGAGCTTCAAGTTCTCTAATCTTTTCAAGACCTTCTGGATGATGAGTATCAAGTAAGATGCTCTTTCTGCTACCAACTTTAATATTGCAAGTATTGACTGCTTCACCGACCAAATTGGTGGCTTTGCACATATAAGTGCCGCTATCTTCAGCGTATGCATAAAGGATATCAAGTGCTACATATCCAAAGTCATGAGTTGTTCTAAATCTGTGACCCGCACGTAATTTAACTCCATTAACGAACCATTCAATCTTCAAATTAGGATCGTTGACTGGTTCAACTCTGCACTCTAAGTGAGCATGTTCACTTTCCTTGAGATTTTCCAGACTTACCAAGGGTGTAAGGAAAACTGGTTTCTGAGGCGCAGTTTCTATTTCTTCCTTCTTTGGTCTTTCGTAACTTTCAAGTTGTTTAATTTTGTTAAGACGTTGTTCATCGAGTGTCTCCAGATAAAGACCCGACTTAGCGACTACTGATACACCAGCAGTTGTTACTGCTTCACCTACTGCGTTTCTAGCTCTGCACATATAGGTACCAGTATCTTCGGCGTAAGCGTATAAGATATCTAATGCTACATAACCAAAGTCATAAGTAGTTTTAAATCTGTGACCTGTTTGTATAGGTCTGCCATTACAGAACCATTCAACTCTCATTGTTGGGTCATTTACTGGTGTCAAAGTCGCCTCGAGATGGGCAGTTAGACCTTCTGGCAAGTTTTCAATAGTTTTAAGTCCTCTTCCAAATTGTGGTTTTTCTAAAATCACTGCATCTTCATGGGATACTCGTTTGTATTTAGAATCATCTTCCAAATGTTGAATCTTTTGAAGAGCTGCTTGATGCTGAGTATCTCTTATAATGGACGATTTGGCTAAAATAAATAAAATAATTCATTTTAAATAATAGGAATATAAAAATGAATTTTTGGCACTTACGTTTTACGTTTGTCACTACCGATGAAGTTGCTTGTCCAATTCGGTTAGTTGCTCTACAGGTATATTCTCCAGAATCTTCTGCGTATGCAGTTAAGATATCGAGGCTCGCAAAGCCAAAGTCATACGCCGTTCTGAATCTATGTCCAGTGGTTAATGGTTTTCCATTATGCAACCATTCTACTTTAAGGTTGGTGTCCAAATATGGTTCAATACGGCACTCGTAGTGAGCACTTTGTCCTTCAAAGATTTCCGCAGGACCATTAAGTTTAGTGGTGAATATCGGCGCTTGCGTAATTGTTATTTCTTCCTCTTCTCGACGTTGATATTTACTTGAATCTTCCAGTTGTCGTAGTTTGTGCAGAGCACCTTCATGTTGAGTTTCCATTTGCAATGAAGCTTTAGCTGAAATTTAAAAAAATAAAATTAACAAACAACTCATATATCTTCCTGCGTAACAAAAAAAAAATGTTTTAGCCACTTACACTGGACGAAAAGTGTAGCAGATGTAACCGCTTCTCCTAAGTCATTAACTGCTCTACAAGTATATGTTCCAGAATCTTCTGGGTTGACATATTTCATGTTAAGAGCAACATATCCAAAGTCATGCATTGTCGTCAAACGATTTGCTAAAATAAATACAATAATTAAAAAAAAAAACACTTGTCATAGCATTTTCCAGTGTACTTACAAGCTTGAATTGGTACTCCATTGCGTAACCATTCGACCTTCAAGCGGGGATCTCCTACAGGAATAAGTCTAGCTTCAAAATGACCTGCTTGATTTTCCGCTATTTTCAAATCTTTAATGGGCATGGTGAAGCAAGGAGCTTGACTGACTGTTTCTTCTTGTACAGTTTTTCGTTGGTAACGGGAAGAATCCTCAAGTTCACTTATACGTTCCATAGCACCTTCATGGACAGATTCAAGGTAAATAGATTTTTTAGATTGGACATTGCAAACGGCAGATGTAACTGCCTCGCCTAATGCATTAGTTGCTCTGCAAGTGTATGTTCCAGTATCTTCTGGATATGTGTAAAGAATATCTAGAGCAACGAAACCAAAGTTATTGGTTTCTGTAAATCTTGAGCCAGATTTTAGTGGTCTGCCATTATGGAACCATTCAACTTTCATCGTTGGATCTGACACAGGAATCAATCTGCATTCAAAATGTGCTCTTTGTCCTTCTCTAATGTCAACGTTCTTTAACGACGTGGTAAAAAGAGGAGCCTGTTTTGTAGTTTCTTCTATTTCCTCTCTTCTTTGATATTTGGAACGGTCTTCTAAGTGTTGAATTTGTTGTAAGCCTGTTTCGTTTTGTGTTGAAGTTATAATTTGTCCAGATTGTCTACATCTTAGTACACAGTTTACTTCATCAGTGCCTACTAAATTAGTAGCTTTACAGGTGTAGTTTCCAGAATCTTCAGCAATGAGGTCTACGATGTCAAGTGCTACATATCCAAAATCGTGGATTGGTCTAAATCTATGACCAATAGTAACAGGACGCCCATTCTTGTACCATTCTACTTTGAGATTAGGATCAGTCACTGGTTCGATTTTGCATTCAAAGTGAGCATGTTTTCCTTCTGTCATGTTTTCTAAGCTCTTTGGTTTTGTTACAAATTGAGGTTTAACAGTAACTTGCTCGTCAACAAATTCAGTACGCTTATATCTAGAAGAGTCTTCCAAATATTGAATCTTCTCAAGACCAGCTGGATGTTGGCTTTCGAATAACAGATCCTTTTTGGCAATTACCTTTACAGAACATGAAGTAACAGCTTCACCTAACTGATTTCTCGCTTGGCAAGTATACACTCCGGAATCAACCGGATAAACACTCAAGAGATCTAAAGCTACATAATCAAAGTCGTACGCTGGCCTGAAACGATGTCCAGTTTTAACTGGAACACCATTGACAAACCATTCGACTCTCATTGTGGGATCGCCTACAGGTTGAAGACGACATTCCATGTGTACGTTGGTTCCTTCTACAGTTTCGATATTATGTAGAGATCTAGTAAATTGAGGTGCTTGTAGAACAGTTACATCCTCAGCAATCTGTTTACGATAGCGGGAAGAATCTTCCAAATGTTGAATTTGTTCTAAAGATTGTTCATGTTGCGTGTCAGTTATGATATCTGAGCGTGAGATAACTCTTACGCATGAAGATGTATGAGCTGATCCAAGTTGATTTACAGCTCGTACTGTATATTCTCCAGAATCAGAAGCATTAGCATGGATGATGTCTAAGGCAACAAACCCAAAATCATTATATGTTCTGAAACGTGATCCTACTGTTACTGGTTTTCCATTGCAGAACCATTCTACTCTCATGGTTGGATCGCCCATGGGTTCCAATCGACATTCAAGATGAACATTTTTGCCTTCTGATACTGGTTGAGGATCAGATAGAGGTACCACAAATATCGGTTTTGATTTACAAAGTTCTTCGATGTGATATTGGGGCTCGACAAACTTTGAATCTTCAATGTGTTTTGTTTTATCGTAAGCTCCACGGTGCATGCTGCTGGTGTCGATGCTTGCACGGGCTAAAAATTAAAAGATAATTTAAATAAAATACAAAATATCGCATAAAATTGTTTAAAAACAAACCACATGTTATATTACTTACTTTCTACAACCATGCTTGCTGAAACTTGAGCTTCTCCTAAAACATTTCTAGCAACAACTGTATAGGTACCAGAATCATCTTCACGTATGCTTAAAATATCTAGAGCGACGTATCCAAAGTCGTAGTATGTCTGAATTCTGTTTGCCGGTTGAATTGGTTTTCCATTAAAGTACCATTCTATTTTGAGTGTGGTATCACTTTGAGGTTCTACTCTTGCTTCAAAGTGTCCACGTTGTCCTTCAACAATTTTATTTGTCCCTTTTAATGGTCCCAAAAACCTTGGTTTTTGTGTAACTTTTTCTTCCTCTTTGGAAGTTCGGTTATATCGAGAACTATCTTCCAGGTGCTGAATTTTTTCTAGACCACCTGGGTGTTGAGAATCGAAGCTTATATCTTTTCTACTAACTACACTTAATTGAGCTGTAGTAGTGGCTTGCCCTACAGCATTGTAAGCACGACAACTGTAATGACCAACATCGTGAATTGTTACATCCTTTATTGTTAAAGCCACATAACCGAAGTTGAAGAAACTAGTACTTCTCGAACTAGCTTCTAAAGGACGGCCATCTTTAAACCATTCAACTTTAAGAGTTGAATCACCAACAGGTTCTAAACGAGCTTCAAAGTGTGCAAATCCTCCTTCGCGAATTTCATTTTGATCTTTGATTGGTGTTTTGAAAACAGGAGGTTGTGTGCTTTCTGGTTGTTCTTGAACATACTTTTGGTGTGCTTGTTGTTGATAAGCTTCAAGTCTTTCAACTTCCTCGATATGTTTCTGTTGTTCGGGAATTCCCAGATCACCGGTAACTGAAGAGCGAGAGTAAACTCTTATATTCGCCGAACTGATAGCTTCTCCTAAATGATTAACTGCCCGCACAGTATACGTTCCTGCATCTTCGGCCCGTAGGTGCATGATATTGAGAGAAACGTAGCCGAAGTTGAAGATGGTGGTAATTCGCGAACTGGCGGTAATCGGTCTGCCATCTTTGTACCACTCCACTTTCATCGTTGGATCGCTAACTGGGGTCAGTTGAGCTTCAAAGTGAGCATTTCTGCCCTCCTGTAACTCTCCAAGATCCTGGAGTGGACGGATGAAATGGGGTTTCTGATTAGATCTTTCTTCTAAACTGTCAGTTCTTTGGTATTTAGAGTAATCTTCTAAATTCTGAATATATTGCAAGCTATCAGGGTGCTGACTAGTTTGTTCAATTGAAGCTCTAGGGTTAACGCTAAGCAATGCACGGGATTCTACGCATCCCGTTGCACTTGTTACACGACAGGTATATTCGCCGCTGTCGTGAATGATTAAGCTAATTATATCTAATGCTATAAAACCAAAGCGGAATATTGACGTGGTTCTAGAACCTAAAACAGATAAAAAGAAAATTTATATGTCTATTTTATTTCGAACAGTGTAAGTTAGTCTGGGTAGCTGACTGCGAAATTGATTCAAAACACCGATCACAGTTCAGCTGTGTGAAGACAGTCACGGTCTGGATGGATGATCAAAATTGTAGAGCTCGGCGCCCATCTAGACGGATGCCGGTGGAATGTGTGGGAAGGAAAAGAACATCTTTATAGTTAAAGAGTAAGCGCATATGCCGACAGTGCCGCCTTGCGAATCTCAGAAAAGAAAAGGCAAGCTATAACTGATTGGGGAAAGCCTGTTGCGACCCTTCAGGCGGGTGCAGAAGGATGACAGCAAGGGCGAAAAAAAGTTATGGAAGTTTGTAGGATTTGTAGAGTAAAAAAAGCTCATTAACAATGAAATAATTCAGTTATTGGAATATATATCTGAGTAGTGTTAAGAATGGAAAATTATTAACTTATCAAAGTAATGTGATAAGGCCTTTTAAATTGCTGCAAATTTTCATACTCTAAATCAAAAGATCTTCAATATTTAACAAATAATGTGTCCTTGATCAAATTTAAAAGGCAGTTGCCCTACGATTTTTAAAATCTAGCCATAAAATGGTTAGAGCATTTAGAATAGACGTTAATAATTCTTGAAGAGCTAGGAACAATTGATTAGAAAAAATCTTAGAGATCTGGGACCTCACTAGAGCCACAGTATTTACAACAGATTTTGAGATAATGCAAGTAAGGTATTTATTGTTAAACGAAATTCTTTACAAACCTTATATAAAATGGTGAGATGTTTCGGATATTTCTCATTTTTGTATACACCACATGTCGATTGATTATTATTAGAAATAATGTATGAATGTATGTCTTAGTTTTCGTGGTGTTATGATCTGATAAGTAATTGATAAATAAAGTTACTTACTAGCTGCTAGTGGTTTTCCGTTCAAAAACCATTCTACACGCATGGATGGATCGCCAACAGGTTCTATTCTAGCCTCGAAGTGGACTTTTCCTCCTTCAAATTGAACAGAATCTCTAAGAGGAATGATAAATTGTGGTGGAGGATAAACGCGATCCTCTTCACCTGGAGCGGCATGTGGACGAGATCGTTCAACATGACGGAGATAAATAACTTCTGGGCCAGGTTCGGGTCTGAAACAAACAAAACAATTTAATTCGTTACATTTTTCTTCTTCATTATTTATTGTTTAGATAACTGGAGCCAAATTTATAAAATAGTTTTGTTTTTGAATTTTTGTATAACATCTAATTCGAATCATACCCACCATATACCCATCAAATGGTTCTATTGTAAATCTTAAATTTGGAATTTTTTTTTTCATAGAATGAATACTATTTTATTGGTTTCTTCCTTTTATAACGTTCTTAATTTCATGAAAAACATATATATTTGAACAGATATAGACATTATAATTTTATCAGATGAGTCTGCTTACCAATTTTTTCAATATTGGATAATATAGGGTACGTAGGCTTTTCCTTCTGTTCGATAGCGAATATTTAATAAAAGTAATGATACATAATAAATCAATGTAGGACTAACTTCTTAAGAACCTACTTCAAATAATAAAAAGTAGAAAAAATTGTGTTCTATCAAAGATTTGCAAGATTTGGTCTCCGGATGGAGAAATAACAAAAGATAATTTTAAAAACTAAAGAAGAATCTTTAAAAACAATAGTAGTGGTTTAGTTTTTTAAAGACCAGATAACTGACATATTAGCAGAGAAAGTGTACTGTGTCTTTTAGATATGTGCTTTCCCTTCTACTCCCTAGTAGATATTTGTTGAATACTTACTCAGGTTCGATGACTTTCGTAGGCCTGGGTAAATGTAGGCGTCTTGGTTCTGGAGTAGTCGATTGCGGTGTTTGGACGAAGAGTCGAGCGCGAGTAGCGGTGGAGCCAGCTACGTTTTGAGCGGTACATTGGTACCAGGCCGCGTCCGAAACTTTGGATCTCGGTATGTCCAAAGTCGAAGCTCCACCGTCAATCGCAATACGAATATCGGGGCTACTCATTATCGGTGCTCCGTCCTTCTGCCAAGTGATTCGTGGCGTGGGCGTACCCACGGCTCTCGCGTGTAAGCGAACTGGTTCTCCTTCGGCAACATTTATTGTTGTGAATCGTTCTACGAATTTAGGAGCGACCACTTGTTCTCGTTCGATGACGTTGAGATTGCATTGGAAGGATGTTTCTCCGGTTTTGTTCCTGGCGACGCAGGTGACTACACCGGAGTCGTTTCGACTAACAGTTGTGATCATGAGGGCGTGATTACCAGATTCGTTGACTAGGATTTTGTGGTTGTGATCGTCTACAACTTGTCTACCGTTGATGTACCAGGTAACATCTGGATAAGGACGGCCGGTGACTCTACAATCGAATCGAGTCATTTTTCCTTCAGTCACATCTCTATCGTTACAAACTCTTACGAAATTAGGGGCTAAGGTTTTGTTGCTCTCAGTTTGATCGATTTCAGTCTGTTGCTGCTTGAAAGTAGATTCGTGAATCAGACCCTCTTGAGTAGTTACAGGTTCTATTGCTAGGTATGCTGAGGATACAACACAACCTTGAGGGTTCTCAGCAAGTAAAGTGTAATGACCGGAGTCATCAGCTGCAGCTTGCTTAACTCGTAAAGAAGCTTGATTATTCGAGAAGCTAGTTTCGTATTTTTGAGTATCTACAATTCTTTGTCCATTTCTAAACCATGTAATTCTGGGTCTAGGATTAGCTGAAATTTTAGAGGTGAACACAGCATCGGATCCCTCGAGTAATTTTGAATTCCGAGGTTTTTGTGAAAATTGTGGTGGAGCCGGCGGTCCTAAGGATCGTTCAACGGTAGTAGAAATCTGAGAATCTTTTTCATGAGAAGATCGTCTGGTAATCGATTCTCTGAATGATACTTCTCTTAATATCCTATATTCGAAGGTGTCTATTTTGAAGTCTTCTGTGGTAATAGTTGTAGTGGTACCGTTAGAGTAAGATGTTGTTTGATCGAATTTAGAGAATGCTTGTCTCTGGGGAATTTGCATTCCTTCGGGTGAGATGTATACGGAACATATGGCTGCTCCGTACTGGTTCTTAGCATTACATACGTATTCACCTTCGTCGCCAGGTCCGATTTGATTGATCTGGAAGACTATGTCACCGGTTGATTCGTTGTAGGTTAATTTATGCTTCTGAGTACTGTGGAGTGGTGCTCCATTTCTAGTCCAGGCCACCGTTGGTTGTGGCTTTCCTGTAACTCGACCTTCGAATGTCGCTGTTCCTCCTTGTGCGAATCGGGCATTACTGAATACCTTTTCAAACACTGGCGGTTGAGCGTTAGGACCGAAGCCAGGAATTTGTTGAAGCTGTTGTTGACTCATTTGACCTCCTGAAAAAAAAAAACGTATAAAAATATGATTGGCTAGCGAATTATAAAAATGATTTGGCAGCACATGCTTGCACGTCTTTGATTGATGCTTTTACATGAAATACCATTTGTTAGTAGATTAGGTTTGAGTTTAAATCCAATTATGGGTTAATATTTAGTAATAAATCTTTGGAAGCAAAAGTGGAAGGCCGTCTACCCTCTGGAGCGATGACATAAAAGGGTTCACTAATAATAAAGAAGATTTTAGACCATCCCGACATTTGTTTTATAGTTAAATAAAATTAAAAAGCTAATCAAAATATTGTAAAGGTAACAGTATCTGCTATCTGGTTAACTTTGGTGCAGTTAAACAGTGCTGACTACAATTAGTAGTTAAATGGTCACTGGCAAGGAAATGCGTTAGGTACTGCGGCAGGGTAGAATATCACATCTTACAGGAGCTATAGTGATATAGATACCTATATAGCTTCATTTGCAATACCAGTGGGTTCGAAAAAATAAGGGTTGGTCTGTTCACAAGCATTTGTGCAGATAAAAATAGGCCGACGTTAAATAAAGAATAAATTCACATTATATTTATTTTTTTTATTAAAAAGTAAGATACTTAGGGTCTAATGGAGATAATTTTGAAGATACGCGTTAAAAAAATAAATTTGAATAAACTAAACAATTAAAAATAAGTCATAATAGTTGACTTTATTTAAAATGTTCGAAACTATAGCCCCTGTTGTACTTGATTTCACGCTGAATGTTAAATAAATTTTAATCGAACGTTGTTTATGGTTTCTTAAAAAATATTGTCTATTCTTCTGTTTTGATTGTCTCTTTTCATTCTTCTGATGGCCAAATATAAAATAATCCATAGGATTTAGGTCTGGCGACCGCGCTGGTTATTTAATCCTGTTGAAACCTTAAACTTTCATCAAAACTTCCAGGATTAAAATTATAATATGGAAGAGATTTAATTAGATATATCTTATATCTTTTTAAAAACTGGAGATGTGCTGGCCTACATTATCTAAAAAGTAGGGTCCAATAATTAATTAGGTTTCTTACAATCTCAGCCCATACTTTTTACCGGTATTATGTATGATGTTTAACCATCCACTGGTGGTTTTCTTTTACCTAATACCTACAATTATGACGGTTGATTTTGCCATTTAATGAGAAATTGGCTTTATGTGAAAAAACAAAAATAATGTTTTGTGTCAACAAAGGATCTGGGTGGCAGTTATTCATCATTGTTTCACAAAAGTCTGTTCTCTTGCCTAAATCATCATCGTTTATTTCTGGTACAAGTTTGTGCATTAGCATTCTGGTAATATCAAGATTACAAATAAAATTATGCGAAGCTTCTTCAAAAACAAGTAAAACATTTTTTTTATCATTTACAGAGAGACAATCTTATTTGGGTGCATTATCGATCATGCTACTCGTAGTTTCTCGAAATGTCTTTCTTACTGTTGACTGCATTATGGGTTTTTCTGGATATATATTATTGCATAAATCAAACGCTTTCATCTCAGTTTGCAATCTGCCACCTCAAGCGATTATTACGTATTTTAATTCTTTGCTAAATAATTCTATAATGGCTGTGGCTATAGCCGTCAGTACAAAAGAAAATCAATTTATATAAATATAAAATGACAATATATTATGTTATCTACCAATACAATTTTTATCAATAAATATATATATTCCATATATATGTATACCTTTCAAACGGCCCCTTTTATTTCGGTTGTTCCAATAATAATCTTGCAGTTCTTCCTAGCATTCAAATGTTTTCCGTTACTCGTGACCTATTTACTGACGCTGCTTACTGGCTACAAACAAAGAAGGGCTAAAACTTGTGTAGCCCTTAATTAAAGTGTTCGGACGGCACTCGTTCGCACTCGGAGGTCGCAGATACCGAATTTTTATACGTAACAGGTCTACGATAATTTTCGGCTTCGTCACATGCTAGACACCATTTAGGCAATACAACATACACTGGTGTATGTTTGGTTGCGTATTTATAATACTAGCACTAGCTTTGTAATTATTATATCGTTACAGCGAACGTCCATAATAATTTGAAGATTTAGAGAATATTGATTTGTGATATTATCAGCAGTTTCTGTTTTAATGTAATATGAAACTATTAATTTCTATTTTTTGTATTCTAGTAGAAATATTTATTTATATTATCATGGGTGTATCTAATATTTTATATGTCTTACGTGCGTTTCAAAAGTAGGTATTAAAGTAGGTAGGTATTAAAACAAGGTATTATATTAAAAAAAATCCAAAGACGTCATTACAATAATGTGAATCACCCTGTATAATGCATTTTTTTGTCACTTGCAGAAAATTAATATTAGAAATCGATATGTTTCAGGGTTTTCTTATTTTTTTTGTTCAGGGAATAAATCATTTATTCTATACGGACACACTGTATATACCACTAGTAAATTCATCCCTAAATTTAGCAAAGTCGCTTATGCTACGCGTCACCGTATGATTGAATCAAATGTTTAAACTTTAAAATATTATTGAAATGGTTGATCATAGAACAGGTAGCTAAAAATATAAATCATGTCTAGATAAGTATCAATTTCTAAATTTAGTAGCATAGTCTATTTATTCTAATTGGTGTAATAAAAAACGATTTCTTCGAGAAATAATAAAATTTTGGTATTTAAAGCAGCCCCGTTAATTTTTTTTTTCGAAAATGACAGCAAGAAAACATCCGAGTGGACCGAGCTGTGACTATTTTAGATCTTGGATCGCGTTTCAAGCATCCATTTCGGGAGCAACTATTTTTACTGCACCAATCAACATCGCAAAGTATTAAAATACAGAGTGTGTTCACAAAAGACGTGTAAATATTTTACATTTTCCACGGTTCTTTTTTTTTTAACAAAGTCAACACTTCTCGTTTGACGTTTGTTTACTTTGGTTAATTTAGGAGTGTCTGTCTGTATTTTGATTATCAATGTAAACTTTTTTTTGTGAGAAATGAATAAATTTTAATTTTTAATTAAAACGGTTTTACGTCTTTATGGTTTTTTAGCATTTTTTGTTTTATATTTGTTAAAGTGTTGGTACAAGATGATGAAGTCTTTGAATTGAAGTGAATTGAATGCGTGTCAATAGTTTCTAAAAATATGTTATACAATAGTTATTTTAATAGGTGGAAGCAGACATTCTATAAATCTTTGTTCGATAATGTGAATATTTTTGTGTAAATAGAAAACATGGTTATAAGAAAATGTTATACAATGTAGAGTTGAAATATTAGTGTTACAAGAGATTTTTTTATAATTTTATCGGTTTTGGAAGCTTTCAAAACTGAACGAAATGTTCAGACACTGTTCTCACTGATTAGTTCTAAATAAAAAATTACCAATTCCTGTAGGATCGGACCCAACATTTTATACTTTTACGTCACTGCCACTAACCATTCTTAAATATCTCAAAAGAGTTGTACTTTTTGTTATACAAGGTTTAATTAATGTGCGTATGACCAGTAGGTTTTTATTAAATTTAGTTCTAAATGGTATACGGTGTGACCATTTAAAAACTTACAATGGGCTATGTCTTACAAATGAAAGATGATATCAAAAAGTACCTACGGACACTTATCATGAGTTTCTTTTTATGTCATTTTAGTTCCCCCTTACTATCCTAGAAACGGTTGTTAGCATTTTTTGACATCATCTTTTGTATGTGAAATATGGCCTATTGTAAGTTTTTAAATTGTCACACCTTATCTCTCTCTGTATCTGTAACGTGTGGAGGGCTGGTTACCCCCGCGGCACTTATACCTCATTAGACTCATTGTGCATCCTCCTAAGATGATAGGCACCTCCTAGCTCGTGAGCCAGCCTACAGATTTAATGTAGTTAACAACGTCGCCAAGAGCTGATACTCGCCGAACACAAATCTTCTAATAAATGAGAGCGTCGAGTAATCGTAAAGGATATGCTCTATGGTCTTATCTTCTTGTTCTTACCCTCTGCAGAGTGCGGATTCTGACAGCGCCATGATATGGAGATGCATCCGTACTTGGCAGTGACCAGTCAGAATGGCTGTGACTAGGCGCATATTCTGTCTAGTCATAGTCAAGTATTTGTTTGCTGCAGTGTTGTCAGGATAACTTAAGAGCTCCCTGGCAACTCTGCAGTGTTTTGTTTCATCCCATCTTTCCTTGAATTTTACAAGATAATGTTCTTCAATTAGATCTGTCCCTACCGATTTTGTCAGGCCAATAAAAGTGCCAGGTCCAAAGAGTATTTGGTTGGCTACTTTATTGGCTAGTGAATCAGCAAGACGGTTACCTTTTGATCCATCTTAAGGTGACCAAATTGTTGATGGATACTTCAGCCAAAGCTTCGTGACATTCTAGTACTACTAACCCTGAGTAAATTCGTGGTTTGTTCAGGGTTAGTAGTGCTTGTCTGCTATCTGTATAGATGATCATGTTCCTTCAAGTGATATTGTTTCTGGTTATTTCTTTTGTTGCTATGAGAATTCCCGTTAGCTCTGTTTGAAATATACTGGCACTATTGCTCACAGCCCATTTTATATTTAGATTCAAGAATCTGGAGTATATTCCACATCTTGAGCCTTCTTTTATTTTAGAACCGTCGGTGTAAATATGAATCGTACCTGCCACTTCTGGCTCTTCTATTTGTTCTATTATAACTTTATAAGGCTTATAGAAGATATATCTCAGTGAGATGGAGTCCATGTTCGCTTGAAACAGTGTGGGCATATCGAGCGCATCCTGCCAAAAGCGACGTCTCGCCTCAGCAGATACTACATCAGGTTCTATTCTAACTGTGCGGAGGCGTGCCATTGTCGTCAGACCAACATCCTTGATGTAAATATCAAGTGAGATTAAGAATTACTTCCATGGCTCTGGTCGGTGTTGTTTTCATGGCTCCTGTTATGTTGAGACATGCTGTTCTTTGAATTTGTTTTAGTTTACGAATAGCGGTTAAGTTTTGAGTTTT